TTCATTTGACATCAGCTTGAGGGATCTGCGGCTGGGTACCTGGGGACTCCACCCCCAATACCTACTTAGCTTTCTGCTACTGTAATGAATACCTGAGGCAATCAGCTTATACAGAGAAAAGGGTTGTTTTGGTTCACAGATTTAAAGATACCCGTCCTCACTGCTTTTGGAGCCGTGACAAGGCAGCACATCATAGCGGGAACACATGACAGAGCAGCACTGCTCACCTCATGGCCAGGAACAAAAGAGAAAGAGGAAGAGACAGGTCTCACAGTCTCCTTCCAGGGCATGCTGGCAATTGACTTCCTATTGGGCTCCTCCTCTTCAAAGTGCCATAGTGCCAAGCCTTCAACACACGAGGCACAGGGCACATTCCAGATGCAAGTAACTGTAGTTTCCCTTCAGGTGGGAGAAAATCTTTTGTGCCATAATTAGAAAAAAGTCCCCAGTTTACACGCACTGTCTGTTGTAGGTCATTGCTGTTTTATCACAATAGAGCCACTAGCTGGGGCACAGGGACGTCGTCATGAACAAAGATATAGAACCTTGAGATGAGGAAGAACTGGACTTCACGAGCACCGTGTAACTGCTTTTGGCCACCGCGGTGGAGGTTTGCATCAGATAGGATTATTGAATAAGAACCGACCTTGATCCTTTTCCAGGAACACAGTGGAAATTTTCAATACGAGAAAGTCTGTTTAATAAATATACTTTGTAAACATTAAATCAAATTCACTAAAAGTTTCTTTTACTTTTATGTAGCTTTACACAATATGTTCCATCTGGGAAAACCCACATTTTCCGGGGGTGGGAGTGGAGTTCTATTTTATTCCCAGGAAATGCTGTGAATTCACCAACCTCTCCCATTCTTCTGACCACCAACACTAATCTTCATCCAGTGACTTGGGGGTGCGGGTGGGGCTGCCCATTAAGACTGAGCAGCTGTTTCTGCATTACTGTTCAATATTTAATGCTGTGACCGACTTTTCAGCCAGAAAGGGTCTTCTGGAAACCACACAGCTCCGTAGGGTGCCAGCTGTGGGGAGATACGTGCCACCCCCACCCCCAACAGCATCTCCTCCTCTGTGTGTCAAGGAAGTGGTAGCCTTTGTCTGGGACGGGCCAAGTATGTTTTCAACAGGACAAGAGGTACATCAGACACGGGGAGGGCCATGGAATCATGAAAAATCATCCAAGAAGCTGGACTCTTCTGTGGGAAAATTATAAGTCTAAATAAATAAATAAATAAAAATAAACCTTCCCAGGAGCTCGTGGACAGCGAGGATTGGAGGAGTGGGTGTTATTTCTGGGTTCTTACTTGCACTGTGTTGGTAAACAGATTCCTTTTGAGTCTCAGTAATTCCAAGTAATTCTCTTAATTTGTTTTCCCAGTGACAGAAATATATTCATATCCATATCCAAACTCACAAATTGAATCCAGAAATTAGCAGAAGCCTAGGAAAATGCTCCATGGTAGTATCCAAGCCTCCAGTCGAGGAAAATCCAAGACTCGAGCACATGAGAGGAGACTGCTCCGTGCTGTTGGCAGCAGATCTGTCCCACCCTTTCCTGTCCATCCTGGGGCACTTGTGCTCCTGAGGGGGCAGGCAGCCCCCCTGACCCCCTGAAAGTCCACCCCTGAAGCCTGGTTTACTCGTTGTTCTGCAGGGACTGTGCTGGTCCCATTTAGGACATCCCCTGGTGTCTGATGTCTGTGGATGTTGTAGAAGTTGATTTGCAGACTTGGAAACCACGTGCCTGATCACCTCATCCTCAAGAGACTCTATCTCTGATCCAAACTCACCCCCCAAGGTGCCCTCAGCGTGTCAGGCTTCAGCAATCCGACCCAGAGGGTGTCTGAGCACTCGATCCTTGTTCAGGAAGTGTGAAGGGAAGACCCACAAGAGGGATTAGGAAATTTGAAAATCACAAGAAATACGTAGAGAGGCTCGGGCTGTGTGAGCCCTGGTCCCGAGGCTATAGGATCACTTTTCTTCAAAAAACATTTTTTTAACCTTTCTGTGTATTCTACCTACTGTTACATATTAACCTGTGTCAAAATTTAATGGTTTCAAGAAATGCGACTTCTCAGGATTCTATGGGGCAAGAATTTGGGCAGAGGTCAGGTGCTACCCCACGGGTTGTCAGCTGGGTTCACCATTAATGGCACTCTGCCGATGCTGGACTCAGTGGAAGGTCTAAACAGACCCAACTCCTAGGCCTGGCTCCTCTTCAAGTGGCCTGGTCAGCTCACGGCTCCCCTGGACAGTGTAGTCCTTTTTTTGCTTGGTGGTCGGCTTCTTCAAAGAACAAGAAATCTTCAATGTACTCTGGAGGTGGGCACAACAGGACTTCTGCCACCAGTTGTCACTCAGAGTAAGAAACAAGACCAGTCAAAACGTAAAGACGGAGGATGAAGGCCATGCTCCTGGACGTGAGGAAGAGTGTGTGCACACAGGAGGTGAGGGGTGCGTGGCTGCCATCTTGGTTGTGCATCTACCACACTGTATACTACAGGTGGCATCCAGAGCACATCTCCATTCCTTACAAACTGGAAAAGCTTCCTTGACTGGTGGCTGCTTGCTATTTCTTGGAGTTCTAATGCATAAAAGGATTTGGGGCTGGGGGTGGGGGGGTGGATCTACAAACATCACTGGTCAAAGGGAAATCTTTTTCTCCTTGGGAATACGTATGTACAAAGATGAAAAAATAACATGAGCTAGCTTTTGAAATTAGCAAGTCTAAAATTTGGAACGGAATGAACAAAAATTATATGAATATAATTTGAGAAGTATCAGAAGAGGAGTGAGAGGTTTGAAAGAGAGAAGGCCTGGAGCCTATTTCCACATATCTCTTCTGCGTGTATTAGAGAAGTTCTTCTTGAAGTGGATGGCTTTCTTACAGACTAGGAGCCAGGACTTATTTCTCTTGAGGCTGATCAGTAGAGTCTCATAGATTCCATCTGTCACGATGGTGATGTCTGTGGCTGGGCAGTGTGGACGGAGGGTGTGTGAGCAGCATCAGATGGATAAGGGCATTTCACCAAGATTGCCTTGTGAGTTCTGGGGGTGAGCCCTTCCCTTCTGAGCCAAGGTCTTGGCAAAATCGACAGAGACTCTCAGGCATCCTCTTCCTTCCTCTCCTCCCCCTGCTTCCTGCAGCATCCCGACACTCACACCCCCAGCACACACAGGCAGAGATGAAAGCAGCCCTGGTGGAGCCTCCCTGGCCCCTGCCCTCCCGCCCCTGGCCTCACTTGTCACCAGCTACTTGCAGCTGAAATGCACAGAGCTGCTCAGCAGGTACGTTAGTCTGGCTTTATTTGAGGGTGAGGGCTTCTTGGTTTATTTTGTTTTTGTTTTGAAGACCAGCTCCCGTCTGGTGGCCATATGTAGTCACACAGGCTTCCCATAAACCACCCTAATGACACGGCAGGGCTCACAGCACCATTTTGTTTTCCGTAGCTAGGCTAATTTGAATTTACGGTTTGTGCAGCAGGTTGAGAAGATAGGACCCTCAAGTCAGGTTGATCTGCTATTACATTTTTTCCTGCCATTCACATCCAGTGGGGGTCTTGCTGCTCCTGAGCCTTTCAGCACTTCCCTCCACCCAGAAGTCCTCACCCTGGGGCAGGCCTTGGCTCCTCCACTCCACCTGTCAATCATCTTTGCTCCTTATGTAAACACAGACAGTTTTGTCATTATTCTAAAAATAGGAGCTTTCAGGAAGGCTGGTAACTGGTTTATCTTGTTCTTTTCTGTAGCTGTTTGACTTGTAGCAGCAATATCAGACATGCCCACTCTTTTTCAGTGCAGTAATACAGTTCTCTCGCTGAAATAAACAACTCACCTTTTGGCCTTGTAGTTTACTCACTGGGGAGCACGATTATTTTTTTTATTGCCTTGTAAAATAGCTTGCCTGTCACATTGTAGCTTAATTGGGAACACAAAATAATAAATAATTTAAAATAAGGAATATTGCCTTTCTATGGAAGTGAGCAAAACAGAGCCCTCTGTCCTCCCGCCCCCGAGCACAGGGCTTTCAATGGTATTTGGTGACAGAATTTCTTGAAACGTGGCTGGATTTGTTCTTGCCTCAATATCTCCATAAAAATGATTTGAGTTGTTTTGTTTTTCCATAAGCAGATTAGACATCTCTTGCCATCAATTTGTTCAACAGGAGGATGTTATCTCTCTGCACCTCTGCCGACTTGAACATTGGCAGTGACAATAGGACCCTCCTGTTGAGCTACTGGAAGTGCTTATGCAGATAGCCATGCAAAGTGCTTATCAGAGGGCCTGGCCCAGAGGACAGACTGAGTGACTGTCAAGAAGAAAGTCCAGTGCACTTTGCAACCTTAAACAGAACCAATACTCTACCCTGCGAGGCTGGGTTTGGCCACTTCAAATGCACATCCCTGGAGAGAGGATATGGACTGGGACAAGGTCCCTTTCTGTGATCTGCCCCAGGTTGGCTGATTTTATGTGTCAGCTAGGCTGTTGGGGTACCCATTTGTCAGTCTGTTACTAGGGTGTTTCTGTGCAGGTGCTTTGTAGGTATGTAGGTAAGTGTCCTCAGTTGACCTTAGTAAAGCAGAGGACCCTCCAAGGCTGAGGCCTCATGCAACTTGCTGAAGGCCTGGGAGCAAACATGGAGGCTTCCTGGAGGAGAAGTTTTGCTTTGGGCATACAACTTAGAAACCCCGCCTGAGTCTCCTGTCTGCTGTCTGCTTGCAGATGTGGACTCCAGACTGCAGTGTCAGCTCTTACCTGGGTATCCAGCTGCTGGCTGGACGAGTCAGCAACCGACTGCAGACTTGCTGGTCCCTCAACTGCCTGAGATGATTCTTTAAAATAAATCTCTCTCTCTTAATAGATACACATCTAATTTGTTCTGTTTTCCTGGAGAGCTCTGACTAATGCACTACTCTCTTGTTGTATTTATTTTAATCCATATGCATGAATTACTTTCATAAAAGCAGATATTGGATTTCAAGGTGCAGATGGATGTGAGGTGAAGTCTCTGAAGCTGTGTTCCAATCCCTGAGTCGTGTGGTCATGGGAAATGCCAGTCACAGAGATGCTTCAGAAGTCAGCAGGTAGGGCCTGTTACCTTGTGGCTTCCAGCTGGGCATGTGCTAACTAGACTCCAACTCCAGAAGTTGCTGTTAGCTTTCACAGTGTCAGCTGTCGAAATGTAAAATGGCTTTTAGTGATAATCTGAGACCCATCATATAGCAACAGGAAATCATTAAGTTGCTAGAGTGGAATATTTGATATTGTCTACGCAAGTGTTTGATCTTTTGAAGTGTGAGGATGATTTGGGGGGTATTTCAAGTGACCATTTACATCTGAGTAATGGGGGTGGTGGTGTCTGGCTTCCTAAGTAACTGTGCAACCCTGGAAAGTCCCCCAACTTTTCTGGACCTCATTCTTTCTTAAAAAGAAAAGGGTAGAAGTAAATAATCTTTGAAATTCATTGATTTCTACGAAATGAAAAGTGCAGGGCACAGTGTCCCGCCCAGCTCTCTGCTGCCATGCCCTCCGTGTCCCAGAACCACTCCCTTCCCTGGAGTTTCTACTCGTGTGACTGTGCTAAGAAGCTTGGGCAATGGTTTCAGTTTCTAGGTCAACTCTCTCTACCTGGGCTGAGGAGGAAATGAGGTAGTTTGATGAAATAGTTAGTCCAAGGTCAAGTGGAAAACTAGAAAGCTCTGAGGTTAGAGAACTCAGGGAACACCCAGAAGTTGGACACGGGTCAAGCAGAGATTAAGAGCAGAGCTTCATGTAAGAGAAGAATAGATTTTTACATCAAAGGGCAGCATCATTCGTGATCTGTGCTCTGACCTTTGCCTGATGCAACTCGCTGGTGGACACCAGTGTGTCGGATTCCATGGCAAGGTGCTGGCCTCTGTCCAGGGGCTATTTGTTCCAGAAACTCACGTACATGCATAATTGAATACTTACAAGCAACCTTGAGTTTGGTATTATTTCCCAATTTTTATAAGCAATGATAATGAGAGTCAGGTTGTTAAGAAGCTTTACTGGGATCAGAATATTAATATTATTAATAAGGGTCTAGGGGTTTAAGTTGGTAGTAGAGCACGGGCTAGCCAGCACAAGACCTGGGTTTAATCCCCAGCACCGCCAGAGGGGAAAGACAAAGAGGAGGAGGGGAATAGTGAAATTGGTAAGCAGTGGAACTAAGATTATGACTGTGGTCTTTCTGACTCCCAAATTCATGGGCAACTTGATACACACCTGTGTTATGAAATGAATGGATGAAAAATACATATTTGACTGGCTTGTTGGATAATTTACGGCAGTAATTTATACCACACTGCATAACACATCTCAAAATTATTTTCAGAAGAGTGCTTATGAGGAGGGGAGGTGCCGGGTGGAGCTTGGGTCTTGTCGGTTCTCCAAGTCAGCAAGCATGCAGGACCAATGCTGTCTTCTCCCGTCTGAGAATTTGGTAGAGCTGGCATACAGGAGCCAAGAAAGGGTGGAGAGGTGATGCTGTCAAGGACTCACAGGGCCACCCACATGTTAGTGTTCACTACTCTAAATTCTTTGTCCTGGGAATTGGCAATGAAAACTTCCCCCTTCAGCGTCAAGTTGACATGCTGGGTAGATGAGATAAGTCACATAAACTTGCATCACTGGATTCATCTCATGGTTAGTCATGCATGCTTGCTTTTATGAATAGTTATCTGGAGAAAGAATTCATGACCACAGGGCCTGACTCAGGAGTTTGGGGGAGGGCTAGATTATGGCCCAGGTGCTCCAAACAGAGGGGCCCCATAGCTGGGCCATTGGGAACAAACAGAACCCTCTGCCCCAATTTTTTAGGGGAAAAGCAAACTTGGGAACTCTTCTACTGAGAAAGCCTCTCTCTGAGAAACAGGAGGGACGTTATCTCTAGAGAGTCACTGTCAAATTGCATATTTCACCCAGAACAACCTGGGATTGTGAGGCATGAGCTAGGTGTCCTCTTACCTGCCACGTGCTGTTCTTAACAGGAAACCACACACTGGGTAATTTCTAAGGGACAGAAATTTGTTCATTCCCACTTCTGGAGACTGGAAATCCAATATTAGGGTTCTGCAGTCTGGCAGGGTCTTCTACCTGCATCGTCACACGACAGGAGGAGAAGGAGAGAGAGAGAGAAAGAGAGAGAGAGAGAGAGAGAGAGAGAGAGAGAGAGAGAGAACAAGAGCGTGCCTCGGAGGGGTCTGACCTTGTCTGTTTATAACAGCACCATTTCCATCTGAGAGGGCAGAGCCCCATGGCCTCCCCACCTCTTCAAGGTCCTCCTGCTGCTATTACAATGGTGGTTGTGTCAGTCAGCTCTCCATCACTGTAACATATAACTCTGACAATCAGCTTATAGAGAAAAGGGTTTCTCACTGTTTTGGAGGATCAAGCCCATGATGACTGGCCCTCTTGCTTTGGGGCCTGTGTTGGGGAGTTCCTTATGGTGGGCAGTGCAGGGCAAAGCAAAACCTCGCATTTCTTGGCTGGGAAGCAAAAGAGGAAGAGGAGGGGCTGGGCCATTGGATCTTCTTAAAGGGCACATCCCAATGGCCTGGAGACCCCCCAGTGGGCTACGTCTTCCAAAAGCTCCACATCTTCTGGGGGACAAGCCCACATGGTCCTTTGGTCACACTGAAGATCTAAACCATAACAGCAACTAAGTTTCAGCATGAGAGTGGGTGGGGACCAGCACTGGGACCATGGTAGGCCCCTTCCATTCTAGGACTTATGTCAGAACAGATCATTTTAGTAGATTGTATTAGTAAATAATACAGAGGAAGGCCCCAATGATTAACCAGGCTCAAGGTGGCAGGTCCAGTGGGACATCGGAGCCTGGCAGCCCACCTGAGGCTGCCTGGGCTGGAGCCAGTGCCCAGATCGGGCACTGGGCAAGGATCAGCCAGACCACTGGCAGACATTTATGTTTTCCAAATAGGGAATGTGGGCAGTCAACACTTTGAATATATTTTAGGGGAAAAGCAAACTTGGGCAAAATATGCTAAAAATGTAAACCTAACAACATAAACAAAGTGATCCTAGTTTTGAAGAATTTCAATAAACATAATTCAGATTTTTATTTATGTATTTTTCAGTGCTGGGGATGGAACCCAGGGCCTCTGGCATGCCAGCCAAGCGCTCTTACCACTGAGCTCATCCTCAGCTAATTTAGATTTGTAAGTAAGTTACAGAAGCCCCTTTGCTAAATGAATAGGCCTGGACACGGCACGGACACAGCCACGGCACGCCTCCTCTCCCCCTGTTGGCTTGTTTCCTCTGCAGGATGATGGTCTGGGGGACAGCCAGGGACTGGCTTGGGCCGTGACGCCCCGTGGTGCACTGTGTGGTCTTGGCCAGCTGCACTGCTCTGAGCCTCAACGCGCTCCTCTATCGAGGGGAGGGTTGTGCTGGGTGCTCTTGCAGTTTCTTTCTGGATTTGAAAAGCTGCAATTTTTTCATAACCTTCATCTATGTCTTTGCTTTCTGCTCTGTACCTAATTTCAATAGAAGAAGGGGAAAAGAAAAACCAGAGAAAGATAATGAGAGAGAGAGAGAGAGAGAGAGAGAGAGAGAGAGAGAGAGAAATATTCAAATATTCAAGAAGCATAGATCAAGTACTAGCAGCATAGACCAGTTATTTTATTTAATCCTAAAATATATGTAGGGAACAGTGTTATTGTCACCATTTTACAGGTGTGAGTGCAGGTTGCACAATGAGCAAGCTGTTGTCTTGGCCCATTTGAGCAACTACTGCAGAGTACCAAAGACTGGGCAGGGTTCCTAACAACAGGAATTTATCCCGCACAGTGCTGGAGGCTGGGAGGCCCAGATCAGGTACCAGCACAGTGGGTCTGGTGAGGCCTGCATCCTGCTCCACCACGGTGGTCTCCTCACTGTGCCCTCCATGAAGGAAGAGGCATGGGGTCTCTGTGACCCTTCATAGGGGCACCAACCCCCCTAGGAGTGCCCTGCCCTTGTACCTATTCACCTCCCGAGGCACCTCTTCTTGGCACCGTCACTCAAGGGCTAGGCTTCAACATCTGGATTCTGAGGCGACACAGCCACTTAGTCCATGGTGGGACTCCAGGGCATCATACCCACCCAGGTCTGGGAGACTTCAGATGAACGACTTTCCCAGGCTCTGTCTGCTTAGCAGGCTCACTGTCTCCCAAGAGGGGGAGAAAAGGAAAGTCAGAAGGAAGAGGGGAGGTGGCAAAGGATCAGAGGAGACACCTGCGTTGCAGACAGGTGACTGCCAGCACAGCAGGGGCCGCAAGAGGCCTCCAGGGACCTGGCCACTCCCCTGCTCTCCCCTCCTACCTGGTGGGCTGTGACACGCACCTCACTGGCCAAGGGGGTCACCCATAACAGGCTTGTGCTCCGGGCCTCGGGAACTCTCCAGGGAGATGTGTGGCATTTCTTAACACCTTCTTGGTGCCTCTGGGGTGCTGCTGGAGAAGATCCAGGGAGAGAGGAAGCTCTGAGGGAAGTGGGAGATGGGCGGAGACCGTGTCCACCTGTCCTCCCCTCCCCTCTGGAATCAGCATGATAAGAACTATTCCCAGAGGCGATCCTAGCCTGAGGCGTGGCCCTCACAGGCTGCTCAGGTGCGCACTGGAGCTCAGCTGCTTCTTGCTTCCTGCTCCATCAGGACAAGATGTCATTACGACCATCCTGAGGTGTCTGGTCTCCGCCCTTCTCAGCTCCCCAGGTGTGAGAGGCGCCCGTGGCTGGGGCGCTCCTGGCAGGGCCCTGGGATCTCTGCGGGACGTGGTCCTGCCCAGACAGGGCTTGGCCCTGTTCCTTTGAGTCAGTCAGGAGCCCGTTTCCAGAGGGCTGGGGTGCGTGCTGGAGGCGGAGTCTGAAGTAGGAACCCGACCGCAGACTCTCAGGGCACCTTCCAGTCAGGACAGGGAGGCCATGCCAATGTGCTTCCTCAGTCCCAACTGGGGTCACTGTAGTTTTGATTATCCTTCAGTTATCCCTGTGGGTTCAACTGGATGCACCGTCTCCACTGCCTGCCTTTAATTCAAACGCATCCCTGTTGCTAAGTGGAAAATCT